GAGAGAACTTGGAGAACAACTCAAGGTCTGAACCTCGCTAGCCTGAAGCTAAGCTCTGCCGCTGCAAAGCTCTCTGCCTCAGTCTCTGGACCCAACTGGTTCCCTCTCTCCACCGATCAGTCTGAACCTCATCAGGTACAACTCAGAATCAGACTCAGACAAGACGTCATAGCTGCCTGGCTAACCAAACTATCCCTCTCTGCAGATAACTATGTGAATCCAGTCCCGGATCTGTACCAGAATCAGTGCAATCAAATACTCTGTGTGTTTATACTAATAAACTGTTGAACTTTTATCCAGTCTCCTGTGGTGTTCTGCATGTGGGTTAAGTCAGTGAGACCCATCATGACAAAAGCGTTGGATACAGTTGTGTAACTTACTCCACCATTGGACTCAAGAAAAGTGGAGACACATTATCTGGAGAGACGAATTGTCCTCCTCCATCTTGAAATCTGGTGGACAAGTCTGGGTTTGGCAGTTGTCACTAGAGCGGTGTTTGTCTGACTACATCATGCAAAGTTTAAAGTTTGGTGAAGGGGGAATCATGGTGTGGGTTTGCTTTTCAGGTGGTGGTATCGGCACTGTTTGTCCCAGTGAATTGAACTCTGAATGCTCCAACATACTAAGGCGTTTTGGACAATTCCATGCTCCCAATATTGTGGATACAGTTTGGAGCTGGTCCCTTCCTCCTCCAGCATGAGTGTTCACCAGTGCACAAAGTGAGGCCCATAAAGACTTGGGTGACAGAATCTGGTGTGGATGGACTACTACTGTAGAATGCTACAAATTGTCCTGAGTTATTTGTGTTGTTATGCAGCTGAAATCATTCTGACTGATTCTGTCTAATCCATGCCATCTCAAGGAAGATGAGAAGAGACAATTCAATCAGACCCAGAAATTAGGACCTTTTAACCTGTGATCCCTGAAAGGGGAAGCAACTTCACGCTCTCAGTTGAAATTTTGGAAGGTTAAGTTAGGGCTGAAACATTAGTTTCATCTGTTATTTTTTTAATTCTAAATTTAAAAGCAACATCAACAAAACTGCGATAAAGAAAAATTGCCTCAGTGACTCTGCTGCAATGATACTAATTAAAATGCAATATTGTTTAATGACTGCCTCCCTGCAACACTAATTTTGGATCAGTCTGCTGATCACCCCAGCCATGTGCCTAACAAAATACCACAAAATACCTTGCACGGTACGACAAAAAAAAAAATGCCACCGTTTTTGACAATTGTCAGTATGACATCTGTTTTACTGTATTGTATTATAACTCTAAATTGAAACAAAAATGTGTTTCTCTATTTGAATTCATTGATATAAATAAAAGATCAATTTTATTATGATTGTCTCAATAAAAGCTTTTTGTCTTATTCACTTCCTTGTGGCTATATTTGTTGTAAAATTATACTATTACTAAAGAAAAATGTATTAATGGTTAAAGATAAAATCCTAATGGATTTAATCTTATTTTATTTTAAAATAAAATAAGATACTATATTTAAAAAAAATGTAAATACTGCGACATCAGTTTCTGAAGAACACTTTAAAAACATTTGCAATAATTCTCTTAGTCTTATCACTATCACAGTAAGTTCTGTTTTGTCTGCATTCAAACACAGAAAGTTCAGAGTCGTTTTATAGACATGCCTGTAGTCTATGTAATGGGTTAGTTTCATGAGTATTTATGGACAAATAGAATTCAGTGTCAGTGGAAATCAATCCCATGCTGTTAAGTAATTCTACCAATTTGGAGCATATATGTATATAGTGAAGAGAATTGGTCCCAATGATCCCTATGGCACCACAGATAACCATGAAGCATGAGGAAGATTAATCAGTAACATGAACAATATGAAATTTGTCAGAGGAATAGAATTAAACCAGCCTAGGGCTGTTCCTTTAATTGGTAAATGGCCTGTACTTAAAACAGCACTTTAACTCAGGAGACTTGACCAAAGCACTTTAAACAACATTCAGTCATTCACCCATTGTCTCAAACACTGATGATGGCAAACTACATTGGAGCGAGGCTGCTGTACACTAGCGCCACCGCGCCCTCTGACAACCCTCCAATTGCAGGGCAAATTCCTGCACCTGATGCCAGTGTTGCTCGCAGACGTAACAATGCTATTTCCACAGAATCGCCTAATTCATGCTGTGATCAACTTGAAAATACAGGGTGATGTTCTACCTGCTGGGCATCCACCAGTGCCTTGAGCAAGTGTGCCTTGTGCACCCCTGGGCTTGAGCGAGTCATCAGCTGGGGACCGCCAGTCATGGATATTTTGCTCCTTTAACCCCAGTACATCTCTTGGTGGCGGAGCGATGGGAGGGATCAGCCTCAATGCCCTTCTCTCATGGGACAGTAAGCTCCACCAGGAGGATGGTCTTGCATGGAACTGACCACAAAATCAGGTCTGGCCGCAGTGATGTCTCCAAAATCTCCCTTGGGACGTGAAGTTGTCTCCCCAGGTCGACCCTCATTGAACACTTGTCATCAGGTGAGAGGAGACTTGATGGTAATATGCGGTGGGCAGGTTTTTGGCTTGTCCCCGGTTCTTGTGAAGAGGATGGGCAGCATATCTGGTCTGGCTAGTCTGAGGTTAGCCTCCTGTCTGCACGCCTCTGCAACCTCACCCCTTGCTCACACTGGCTCCGGTGCAGTTAC